GCGTATTTTTGGTCACCGTATTACAGAATGGATATAAATTCACTGGAAAACGTACAAAGGAGGATGACAAAGTTGATCCCATGTATCAAAAATCTTCCATGTGAGGATAGACTGAGGCTCTGAACCTGCACTCTCTAGAATGGCGAAGAATTAGGGGGATATGATTAAGGTGTATGAATGGAAAACATGAATTAATAAAGGGGAAGTAAATAGCGTGCTAAAAATATTTAACACAGGCAGGACTCGCAGCTATGGCTCTAAACTGGAAAAATTCAGATTCAGGAAGGATGTAGGAAAACACTTATTTCGAAATAGAGTTGTGGATGTGTCGAACAAACTCCCTACTACCGTGAACATTAAAATGGTATAAAATACCGACAGGTTGTTAGGTAAGACACATATGCAACAGTTAGGTATCTTTATTTCGAAACGTTTCGCCTACACAGTAGGCGTCTTCAGTCGAGTACAGAAAAGTTGATAGAAGCAGAAGATACTTGAAGACGATGTAATCAGTCCATCACCCTTAAAGTTTTGAGGTGGTCAGTCCCTCAGTCTGGAGAAGAGCATTGTTCCATAGTATGAAACAATATGGAGATGAAGTGACAGGATAGAGCCTTATATAGCGCCAAGAGGTGAGACGTAGGTCACTAGAAGAGGTAAGAACTCAGATGTTGGGAGGTCAGGTCCCTCTCAAATCCAGCCGTTCTCACTAGTGGAGGTTGTCGAAGTTGATTGCAGGTCTGTACCAAGATACCCTTGTGTTGCAGTGTCTGACAGATTGAACATTAAAATGGTATAAAATACCGACAGGTTGTTAGTTAAGACATATATGCAACAGTTAGGTATCTTTATTTCGAAACGTTTCGCCTACACAGTAGGCTTCTTCAGTCGAGTACAGAAAAGTTGATAGAAGCCGAAGATACTTGAAGACGATGTAATCAGTCCATCACCCTTAAAGTTTTGAGGTGGTCAGTCCCTCAGTCTGGAGAAGAGCATTGTTCCATAGTATGAAACAATATGGAGATGAAGTGACAGGATGGAGCCTTATATAGCGCCAAGAGGTAAGACGTAGGTCACTAGAAGAGGTAAGAACTCAGATGTTGGGGGGTTTCAGGTCCCTCTCAAATCCAGCCGTTTTCCCAACTAGTGAGGTTGTCGAAGTTGATTGCAGGTCTGTGCCAAGATACCCTTGTGTTGCAGTGTCTGACAGATTGAACATTAAAATGGTATAAAATACCGACAGGTTGTTAGGTAAGACCATATGCAACAGTTAGGTATCTTTTTTCGAAACGTTCGCCTACACAGTAGGCTTCTTCAGTCGAGTACAGAAAAGTTGATAGAAGCAGAAGATACTTGAAGACGATGTAATCAGTCCATCACCCTTAAAGTTTTGAGGTGGTCAGTCCCTCAGTCTGGAGAAGAGCATTGTTCCATAGTATGAAACAATATGGAGATGAAGTGACAGGATGGAGCCTTATATAGCGCCAAGAGGTGAGACGTAGGTCACTAGAAGAGGTAAGAACTCAGATGTTGGGAGGTCAGGTCCCTCTCAAATCCAGCCGTTCTCACTAGTGGTGGTTGTCGAAGTTGATTGCAGGTGGCTCCCTGAACACAGTTATATTGAGATTTCAGTATTTCACTCATTTCTCTGTTGTCATCTGTGTAGGAGCCGTCTTGTCTGAGTAAGGGCCTTATACTAAGGTGGTTTTTGCCTTGTTTCTAGCATATGACAAGAAATATTTCGAATTTCTTTCAATTTCACAAATCACTTTTAGCTCCTGTATTTCGTAGTTTGAGAGAAAGGGGGAGATGTTGTGGAGGAAGTAATCGGAGAAGGAAGGAAGCATTCAACGCTTTTCTATAAATATTTACAATAAATTTACAGCATATTGTGATCCATGGTCCTTCCTCACCACTGTTTTGTAAATAAATCTCCCTGTCCTACCGATGTAGAATTTTTTTGAGTATCACGCGTAGGATTCGTTTCATTATCTCCTCTTTAGATTTTATGTCTCATTAAATGGAATTAAAATTTTCTTGGAAGAATGAAACATACGAAAATGACACAAAATATTCAATGGCCAGATAATATTAACACAGTTGTGGAGAAGTTATTGTTTCCAAACATGAGCGAGATACTAAACGGTGAGAATAGTGAGACTCACACCTCTCTCACCCCCACCCCCAGCCATGATACACGTACTGGACAGGGTCATGGATCCTTCATCCTCTCATTAGCTGGATGGAGATGATCGTATATCCCGCATCTTAGAATCATTAAAAACCTCAACATTTAAATCTCTGAAATGTGGTCTTAACCAAGCGGATTTAAACTAAAGCTAGATTACGGGTGGATAGGATGCAGTCACCACCACAAACCAGCATGGTTGTGGGTGAAGGGACTCACACCTAACAAGTTCCCTGAGATTAATTCACGAACTCATTCTGCCCTTTATACAAAGATATCTTGCCCGTGACCTGGTGACAAAGGCTCTCGCCTCACACCACGAGTTTCGGGTTCAGTTCCAAGAGAGGGTTGAAACAGTGGGTGTGTTACCTTACACTGGTTATCTATGTTCATCCATAAGTAGGTAATGGGTACCTGGGTGTTAGTCGACTGGTGTGCGTCGTATCCCGAGGACAAAATTGACCTAATTTGAGGGGAAATTCTCAGCATAACAAGGGGCTTTCCATATAGTAATATGTCATCGATGACAGCTTGGCCTGTATACCTTGTACATGTACATGCAGAAACAAAGATATTATTACTTAGAGAAGAGGCATGAATATACCAAGAGAGGAGAGGCCTGAATATACCAAGAGAGGAGAGGCCTGAATATACAAAGAGAAGAGAGGCCAAAATACACCAAGAGAGGAGAGGCCAAAATATACCAAGAGAGGAGAGGCCAGAATATACCATGAGAGGAGAGGTCAAAATATACCAAGAGAGGAGAGGCCAAAATACACCAAGAGAGGAGAGGCCAAAATACACCAAGAGAGGAGTGGCCAAAATATACCAAGAGAGGAGAGGCCAGAATATACCAAGAGAGGAGAGGTCAAAATACACCAAGAGAGAAGAGGCCAAAATATACCAAGAGAGGAGAGGCCAGAATATACCAAGAGAGGAGAGGTCAAAATATACCAAGAGAGGAGAGGCCTGAATATACCAAGAGAGGAAAGGCCAAAATACACCAAGAGAGGAGAGGCCAAAATATACCAAGAGAGGAGAGGCCAGAATATACCTAAGAGATGAGAGGTCCAAAATATACCAAGAGATGAGATGCCCTGAAATAACCAAGAGAGGGAGAGGCCAAAATGAACCAAGAGAGGAGAGGCCAAAATATACCAAGAGAGGAGAGACCAGAATATATCAAGAGAGGAGAGGTCAAAATACACCAAGAGAGGAGAGGCCTGAATATACCAAGAGAGGAGAGGCCAAAATACACCATGAGAGGAGAGGCTAAAATATACCAAGAGAGGAGAGGCCAGAATATACCAAGAGAGGAGAGGTCAAAATATACCAAGAGAGGAGAGGCCAAAATATACCAAGAGAGGAGAGACCAGAATATACCAAGAGAGGTCAAAATATTCCAAGAGAGGAGAGGCCTGAATAGACCAAGAGAGGAGAAGCCAACATACACCAAGAGAGGAGAGGCTAAAATATACCAAGAGAGGAGAGGCCAGAATATACCAAGAGAGGAGAGGCCAAAATACACCAAGAGAGGAGAGGCCAAAATATACCAAGAGAGGAGAGGCCAGAATATACCAAGAGAGGAGAGGCCAAAATATACCAAGAGAGGAGAGGCCAAAATATACCAAGAGAGGAGAGACCAGAATATACCAAGAGAGGTCAAAATATTCCAAGAGAAGAGAGGCCTGAATAGACCAAGAGAGGAGAAGCCAACATACACCAAGAGAGGAGAGGCCAAAATATACCAAGAGAGGAGAGGCCAGAATATACCAAGAGAGGAGAGGCCAAAATATACCAAGAGAGAAGAGGCCAGAATATACCAAGAGAGAAGAAGCCAGAATATACCAAGAGAGAAAAGGCCAGAATATACCAAGAGAGGAGAGACCAGAATATACCAACACAGGAGAGGCCAGAATATACCATGAGAGGCGGTCTGCATATTCAAGATAAAAGGAGGAAAGGTTAGAATATACCAAGAAAAGAGAGGCCAGAACATACCAAGGAGTGTAGGAGGCCGAGAAATATGCCTAAGGAAGAGGAGGTCAGAATATTGCCCAAATAAAAGGAGGATAGGTTAAATTACAAAGTAATGAGTGGGGAGACCCCTGAACATACCAAGAAAGAAGAGGCCAGAGTATAACAAAAAACTAACGAGAAACGAGAGACCAGAATATACCAAGGGACGAAAGTCTAGAATATAAGAAGAGAGGTGAGACCGGAATATACAAAGAGAGGAGAGGCCAGAATATACCAAGAGATAAGTGGCCAGAATTTACCAAGAGAGGAAATTCTAGAATATACCAAGAAAGGAGAGGCCAGAATATACCAAGAGAGAAAAGGCCAAAATATACCAACAGAGGAGAGACCAAAATACACATGATAGGTGGTCAGAATATTCCAAATAAAAAGAGGAGAGGTTAAAATATACCAAGAAAGGAGAGGCCAGAATATACCAAGAGAGAAAAGGCCAAAATATACCAACAGAGGAGAGACCAAAATACACATGATAGGTGGTCAGAATATTCCAAATAAAAAGAGGAGAGGTTAAAATATACCAAGAAAGGAGAGGCCAGAATATGCCAAGGGATAGAAAGCTATAATATAAGAAGAGAGGAGAGGCCATAATATACCAAGGGACGGAAGGCATAATATAAGAAGAGAGGAGAGGCCAGAATATAAGAAGAGAGGAGAGGCCAGAATATGAGAAGAGAGGAGAGGCCAGACTATATCGAAAAAGGAGAGGCCAGAATATACCAAGGGACGAAAGGCTAGAATATAAAAAGAGAGTATATACCATATAATTCCTTACCTTGTTATAAGTAACTCAGTGTTAGCCACTTGCTTCTCTTATACAATTAACTGTTGTTACTGTTATACCGTACTTAATGATGACTGTGGGGACTTTGGTGTGTATGACATAACACTGTGGACAATCCTTGCACCACTCACTCGTCTCCTCCCACAACCTAGACTGGATGACTGAGGCCACAGCAACCCCAGCGCTCTCTCAAAAGTGCCAGTGTTATCATTATCCACAAATATGTAAAGTAGTATATTAAAAACTTTAAATATATAATACATACATAGGTACGTCAAACATACCTAAAACATGACTATATTATTGTTAACATATACTGAAACTCCATCACCACTTAAACAGATAACCGAAACACATACACAATAACACTAAATACATTCCTTACACATTCCATACAAAAAAAAAATAAAAAAAAACAAAACACAAATTACGCGAACTCTAAACATTTTTCTTACAACTAATAAACATTAGACCTTATAATTACATTTAATTGACCCTAGAGAGGAAAGTATAAAATAAATTATTACTTTATCCTAGTTACGAACAATAAAGGCAAACACTAGCATTACTATGAAACTTAAACACTTGTACAATCTTAACGCAACACAAACATACACATTTCTACAATACACACCTCCTAAAACTTTACAACATTTCATATTATTCAGTGATACATAACACCCAACCTTAAAGATACATATCAGAAAATAGGTAGTGAAACCTAACCCTTATCTAACTTTAAATGTTACTTTACAATAAACAGGGAATATTACCACACAGAAATGAATACTGATACATATATATACACACATACATATATATACACATACATATATACACACATACATATATACACACATACATATATACACACATACATATATATTTCTCTTACACATTCACTTACAAATACACCCACTCACAATGTACAGTAATATTCAATAAGATATTTTCAAGAACCATGACCGTATTACAGGAACACACACACACACATACACACAACAACCACACATCACACAATCACACACACACACACACATATATAATATATATATATATAAATATATATAAATAGATATAATATAAATAAATATATAGTATAAATATATATATATATATATATAAAAATATATATTATAATATCAATAACAACAGCTGCACTAGCCAAGACGTCGAACCCATGCTGCTTTGCCTGCCTCATGTGGGCGAAAACGCATGAATGCCCAAATCTACTGGACCATACGAACCTAATAGTAGCACAAACCAGTGGAACTGGATGTTGTACTCGGCTACCCAAGGACACACGATGGGTTGGGTTACTCTAGGCTAATTTCCATTCTAGTCCCTGTTCGTTACTAGTACAACGAGCAGTATTTTATGTTATTTGTGACCAACGACCGAGTGGTATTGATACAATAACAACACTGCACTAGCCAAGGACTCGAACCCATGCGCCTCGTTGCACTAAGTATACCAAACAGGGACTAAAAATGAAATTATGCCTCGAGTCATCCCACACCATCCTGTGTCCTTGGGGTAGTGAGTACAAATCCAGTTCCACTGGATGCCTTACTCTTAAGGATCCGTATGGGTCCTAGTGGATTTAGATGCAGTGGTGCACTAACACGATGATACAGCAAATAGCACCGGGGTCTTCTAGCATACAAAAGAGGATTTACCAATAGACCCCCTGGCTGTCTTCAAGACGCACGAGAGCAGGCATCTAAAGTCATTACCTGACCAGGTAGGCTGTGGTTAGTACCGATCAATGTTGAATGCAGCCACCAATGAATAGCCCTAGTTTTTGTTGGGTCAGACCGTGATCCACCATGAGGCCCTAGTTACAGACCAACTGTGGGAGGGCGTTGACCCCCCGAAACCCTCATCCATATACCCCAGGTGTTCGTTCCCCAGTCTATATCCCACTTCAGAAATTCCAGTTTTCCTCTAGGTTTGTCGTGTTAACCTTGCCTCTGCGGCTCTAAAAACCTCAAAACTGCCATTTTTTACTTCTTTGTTATCCATCATCTGGACCATTTCATTACAAAACATGTTTAGCTTTTTGTCCATCATGCTCTGAGCTTTGTTACCCATGATTCCTTTATCAACAACTCGTCTTAGGGTGTGTATCTGTGTGTGCCTGTGCTCACCTAATTGTACTCACATAGTTGTGGTTGCAGGGGTCGAGTCACAGCTCCTGGACCCGCCTCTTCACTGGCCAGTAATAAGTCACTCTTCTTGCTCCATGAGCTTTATCATACCTCTTCTTAAAGCTAAGTATGAATCCTGCCTCTGCTACATCACTTCCCAGACTATTCCACTTCCTGACAACTCTGTGATGGAAGAAATACTTCCTAACGTCCCTGTGATTCATCTGAGTCTTCAGTTTCCAACTGTGTTCCATCTCTGGAACATTCTGTCTCTATCTACCTTGGCGATTCCTCTTAGCATATTATATGTAGTTATTATATCCTCCATCTGTTGTCCTGTCCTTCAGTGCCATCAGGTCGATTTCCCTAAACCTCTCCTCGTAGGACATGCACCTTAGCTCCGGGACTAGTTTTGTTGTAAACCTTTGCACGTTCTCTAGCTTCCTTACGTGCTTAGATAGGTGTGGATTCTAAACTGATGCCACATACTCCAATATAGGCCTAATGTACAGGGTGAACAGGGTTCTGAAAGACTCCTTATTGAGATGTCGGAATCCTGTTCATAGGTTTGCTAGGAGCCCGTATACTGCAGCAGTTATTTGGTTGATGTGCGCCTCAGATGTGCCCAGTGTTATACTCGCCCCAAGATCCTTTTCCTTGAGTGAGGTTTGTAGTCTCTGGTCCCCTAGACTGTACTCCATCTGCAGTCTTCTCTGCTCTTTCCCAATCTTCCTGACTTTGCACTTGGTGGGGTTGAGCTCCAGGAGCCAGTTTCTGGACCAGGCCTGCAGCCTGCCCTTTGTAGTTCTGCCTGGTCCTTGTCCGATTGAATTCTTCTCATCTACTTCATATCACCTGCAAACGAGGACACTTCTGAGTCTATTCCTCTGTCATGTCATTGCATGCTAGTGGCCTTCTTTGGAATTGTTGTTTTATAATATGTAAACTACCAACTGTAATTTTACAGAGAAGTAAACGTTTCAGCTTCAGTTTCAAATACCAGAAACAGCAACGATCCTAGGACTGGTCCTTGTGAAACCCTGCTCGTCACACGCTCCCACTCTGATACCGCGTCATGTACCATGACTCTCTGTTGTCTTCCTGACAGGTATTCCCTGATCCATTGCAGTGCCTTCCCTGTTATCCCTGCCTGGTCCTCCAGCTTTTGCACTAATCTCTTTTGTGGAAGTGTGTCAAATGTTCTCTTATAGTCCAAGAAAACACAATCTACCTACCCCTCTCTCTCATGTCTTACTGTCACCCTGTCTGTTTTTAAATTTTGCCCCCAATTTTTTTTTGAAACTTTGTCGC